ATACAAAGCTGTTAGCTTAAAAAATAATTTTAGCTTTTATTAACGAAGATTTATTATTTTTTAGTGTTACTTGAAATCTGTAAAAATTATGTATTTTCGAGTGGGTAAAACTTATAAGTAAAGTTATACCATAATAAATGTTTAAAATAAATTTATATAATCAAATAGAATTGGAGGCACTGCAATAGATATTGATGTTTCAAAGGGAAGAATGTTTGATTTGATGTGTCTCATTGTACATGGTGCATAACATTCCGGTTGCTGATAATATTTATAATATTATTTTTCTATTAATACCAAATTTATTTCAGCTCTTCTTAAAAGCCCCAACTGCCTCAACCCACCACGCTGATGGAAAATAAAATCCATTGAATCACCATTTAATTACACATTTGCATTTTTAGGCTTTTAAAATAAAATTGTAATTAGACGTTTTGTATTAGACTAGACCTATGTATAAGTAAACCATCTTAAATGAATGGAAGTAGGCTACATTTAAGAAAGAAGTATTACTATTCTATATCTGTATAAGTCCTTACAAGCCGATGGTGAAAACTGTAATACTAAACCGAACATTCAAGGCGAACTGGCGTTGTAAATTGCATGTCTGAGGAAAAAAATTCGTGTATAATAGTAGGCCTATTGCAAAATCCTGTAGATTATTTATAGGCATACATCTTTAGTCTTTAGAGTGAAAAGATTAGCTATCTATATAAATCTACAGTAGTCCTGATACGTCGACAGATGAGCATAGTAATGCACTAGCAAAAGACTTCGGCACTGGGATAATGTACGCTACAAACATTAATTCTCTATACCATGTATTTAAAATAAAATAACAGTATAATATGCAATCTTCGAAGTGGTGCTACTAAGAAGCATTTTCATTTCAAGAGGTATAGAACTTAAACAACTATGCCCAGTAGCGAGGGTGGGGGGGGGGGGGTGGGGCGGGGGGGGGGACATATGTCCCTGGGCGCCGACCTTAGTGGGCGCCAAAATGGGTTGGAAAAATAAATCGAAAGTTTGAGGGGGGGGGGTGCAAATCGAAAAGTTTGTCCCCGGGCGCCGGGAGGGGTCGCTACGCCTCTGACTATGGCAAAAGCATTGACATTCGCACCATTTAAGATTTTTGATAAAAAAAAAATTGAATATGATCAGTCTGACGAAAGAAGCAGCCTGCCAAATATTCCAGGATTTTAAATTATTACAAATAGAGGTGATGTCACTTTAACAAACAAAACAAAAATCAAAAACAAAAATGGGAAAGAAACAATGGCAGTGAAACTGAATGTTAATGGCGCTGTGGGGAATCCCACTGATAAAGAAAATGATCCATCTCAAATGGTCTGAAGACCACCATTTGATTTTGAGATCAGTAAGGGGGATGGGGAAAAGTTGGTGCTTGAGTGCTATTTTGCCCAAAATGATAACTCATACATAGAAGAGGGTACATCTTACGACAAGGGCAAAAAATCAGAACAAAAGTTGGTGATTGAATGTTCTTTTGCCCAAATTGATAGTTCATACATTTGAGAGGGACGGTAGTGGTTTAGCGGTAGAGAGCTGGACTGCTAACCCGTAAGTCTCGAGTTCGAATCCAGGTTCAAGTCAGTAGACTGTCCCTGAGTCCACCCAACTCTGATGGGTACCTAACTCACGTTAGGGAAAGTAAAGGCGGCTGGGCATAGTGCTGACCACACTATCTCTTCATATGCCGATGTCACAGAAACAAGTGAACTCTACTTCACCTGCCCCATAGACCGTCAGGTTTGAAAGGGAAACTTTCTTTACTTTACATTTGAGAGGGTACATCTTATGACAAGGGCAAAGTATCAGAACAATAGTTTGAGGTTTCTTTCGCCCAGAATGACAGTTCATACATAGAAGAGGGAACATATGATGACAAGGTCTACCAGAGCAAATAGGTGATCAGTTTGAGATTCATGAATTCTTCTTTCCAAGACGAGGGTTCTGCAGATGGTGGATACTCAGTTTCATCCTCAACAATGGATGCTGAACTCTTTGACCTGCTGATGGATACGCTGGATGAGGGTGGCATCCATGATGAGTTTGTTATCCACTTGCTCGACTTCTGCACAGCTTATGAGAACCAGCAGTACAGGGGCGTAGCGAGGGGGGGGGGGGGGGTTAGGGGCGGGGGTGCGGACCGCACCGAGTGACACCATTTAGGGGGGTGACACCAAGTAAAAAAATAGCAAAATATATACAGAAAAATGATAATTCCAATTAATTAAGTGATTAATTCGAGTGTTTAATAGTCTTTAAGAGGTGCAAATCGAAAGTTTGAGGGGGGGGGGGGGTGCAAATCGAAAACTGAAAGTTCGTCCCCGGGATGGGTCGCTACGCCTCTGGGGGGGGGGGGGGGGTGACACCATTAAGTGCCGCACCGGGTGACACCCGACCTTGCTACGCCTCTGCAGCAGTACATTTGGTTCATCAAGAAGCTACAATCATTCGCTGAAAAAAATATTACATGGAAATATTTGCATTAGTTCTGTAGTAAAACTCATTTTAGTACACTGTTTTATTGAATTTTAGGAAATGTATCCTTCTTCACTGAAAATAGAACAATCTTGCTCTAAGCAAATTCATTATTTAAAAAAAAATCTGAAATTGCATTTTTATTTTATAATTATTATGTAAATGGTGCATTAATAATCATTTAAAAGTAAAGTAAAATTTCCTCTTCCAAACCTTGACAGTCTATGGGGTAAATGAAGTAGAGTTCACCTATTTCTGTGATATCGGCATATTAAAGGATAATGTGGTCAGCACTTTGTTCAGCCGCCTTTACTTTTCCTTAACCTTTTAGGTACCCATCAGAGCTGGGTAAACGACGGTCTACTGACTTGAACCCGGATTCGAACTCGAGACTTACGGGTTGGCAATGTTTACTTCCTCCCCCTCCCTCACCAACCTTACATGTCGTCACCAAAAGCAAGAATCTAACACCTAAAAGAACGTCACACCTCAGTCTACCCCCTCCCCCACCCCCTTATAAATTGTAATTTGTTTAAAAAAAAAAACCCAGTTATTTTTTCGCCCAGAAATGTTTACTGAGATCGATCAACATTGCAATTTAAAAAAAAATCGTTTACCAAAGTGAAATAACGGCTAAAATTCAGTTTAAAAAATTATTGCAAAAGTATGCAGTCACCCCCAGCCCTATGCACTCCTTACGGAATGACGTCAGTGTATATCCGTTAATATGTATGAAATAATATAATAATATGTTATTGAAAAAATAAATTGAAAGTCTGTTTTCAGAGGTCTAGTAAATTTTTTTTGGACGTCCACATAGGGAAAGGGAAGGGGTAGGTGGGTCTAAATTGCAACATATGAACATCCATACCAAAAAATGTCGCCCCTGATAAACAACCCTGCTTAGAAATGTCTCCACTGATGAACATCCATACTTAGAAATGTCGTGACTAATGAGCACCATACTTAGAAATGTCGCCGTTGATGAACTAGACACGGATAATGAGTGAAATATTTGACCTTGGTGACCTTCTCTCGCGACCTTAACCGCTGCACAAACTTTTCATCAAGGAAAAAATGTCGGCGCGTCCTGAAACCATGTTGACTATTTCACACCTTCAAGCATTGGGTACAAAAAGGTCGCAAGGTAGGCCTGGGTCTATGTTAGAGACATGCCCTTCCTCGTGTCGTACAGGTGTAGCTAGACTCTACCCACACTCTTCATCGCTGAGTAGTTATTGAGTTACGTGTAAAATGTTTGCTTTGGTAATGGGAGAAAGAATTCCGAAAACTAAAATTTTTTACCAGAATTTTTTTCTATGCTTAAATACAAATGTGTAGTTGCTCTGAGCATTGCAAAGATATTTTTTTTTTCTTTTTGTATTGGTGAGAAACTTCGTCCCTTTTCACTTTTACTGTGAAAGTCAATTAAGGGGAACTACTCTTTAAGGGATGTAGCAGGTTTTTCAGAAGGGATTGTTTGGACTTCATTCTATTGCTAAATAGTGCTCTTAAATAGACAGGTATTATATTATTTTTTATCTTTCTCTCGTAATATTATATATATATACATACATACATACATACTCACACACACACACACACACACATAAATAAATAAATATATATATATATATATATATATATATATATATATATATATATATATATATATATATATATTTATATATATATACTATATATATACTATATATATATATGTATATATGTATATAGGTATATGTATATGTATATGTATATGTATATGTATATGTATATGTATATGTATATGTATATGTATATGTATATGTATATGTATATGTATATGTATATGTATATGTATATGTATATGTATATGTATATGTATATGTATATGTATATGTATATGTATATGTATATGTATATGTATATGTATATGTATATGTATATATATACGTAAATATATATGTATATAGGTATATGTATATGTAAACATATATGTATATAGGTATACGTATATGTATATATATACGTAAATATATATGTATATATGTATATATGTATACGTACACACTTATATACGTATATATATATATATATATATATATATATATATATATATATATAAATATATATATATATATATATATATATATATATATATATATATATATATATATATATATATATATATATATATGCGTGTGTGTGTGTGTGTGTGTTATGGTGAATTAGAACATAGAGGTGTAATTGTAATGAAACCTTTTTGATTAGAATGTTTATTTTTCTCAAGATTTAAAGACCATCTTTTTTTTTACTAATATAGAAACACGAGTAGCAAGCACGCGACGAAGACATGACACAGAAGACAAACTAGAACTTGTTTTGGTTTTCTAAGTTCACGGCTAGCCTGCTGATTGATAAGAAGGTCTTGGAGAGTACGATAGGACTTAATTGACAGCTGGTATATCAGCCAGGATCTAGCTAGTTGTATCGCAGATTGGATTGTTTTCATAATGAGGTAAGACGTGTTTTGTTTACATCCTAGGTAGCCGTGTGAATTTGACGTAGTCGTAGACGAAATATTCAAATCTTTTGGTATATTGTTTTTCTTGGACTCAATTAGTAGGCTGTAATTAATTACGATTTCTCAAGAGAACAAAAAATTAAGTATTTGACTAGTAAACATCGTGGATACATTGACAAATATTGTCAAGAGACAGATTTTATTTTATGAGCGGTAGAAAAATGCATGGCACATTGTGTTAGCGTAGGTTTGATACAGCGTTAATCTTCACCAGCTGTTCAGCAATTGTTTTATCCTAGAGTTCTAAGAACTAAGTGGTTGGCTTGGGTTATGTGGCTCAGGAAATCACCGATTGTTATAACAGTAGACTTTGGTGTCGTCCATAAATGACGTCACACCTCGTAGGGGGAAGGGGGATGGGTCCGTAATTTTGTGACGGTGTGTTGAGGGGGGGGGGGCAGATTGTGCGACGTCACACTTTTAAATTATAAAAAAAGCAATGTTAGAAAACGAATTTTAGACGTTATTTCGCGTTTTAGAAAACTGTTTTAATAAACTGTAATAGGAGTTGATTTAAATACTCTATTTTGACAGAGTTCAGACAACATTTTAGAAAAATATCGAATGTTTTAAAAGAAATTCAACTGCAATTTTGAGGGGGGGGTGGTGTAGGCTGAGGTGTGACGTCATTTTAGGGGGGGGGGGGTCTGGTTTTTTGTGACGACGTGTGACGGGGGGGAGGGGGGGAGGTAAAAATCGTCCAAAAAAGCGTGACGTCATTTAAGGATGACCCTTTGGTAACGGTCCGGATTAATTTAAATCTTAAAAGAATATTCTAGTATTCCTGTAGAAACATCATTTTCTTAATAATAAAACTTTAAATTTAAAAAAAAAAAATTGTTAGACAATTACGTTAATTTTTTGAGAGCAACGACATTCTTAATTTTGTTAAACCTTGATTTTTTTACTCTCTGCTTAGGTTTCTGTTTGGATTGTTTTCATTGGTTCTCTGGGCGCAGGTCACGTGGGCGGATGTTGACGTCCCCGTGACCAACCATTGGAATGGAGGTTTTCAGGCGCAGGCGTGTTTTGACATCACACAAGAGCTCCACGAATGGACGATAACTCTTACCTTTGATCAGAAAATCAACAGTCTAGAAGTAATTATATATATATATATATATATATATATATATATATATATATATATATATATATATATATATATATATATATATATATATATATATATCTAGCCATATGAAAATACTTACACACACTCATACACACAAACATTTTACATGTTAGTATAAATTTAATATATGAATAGTATTATATAGCATATCTTTTTATACAGAAACTTTTTGTTCTATTTCTATCGATTAGGTGTGGGTGGCTGACGTCCTTGAGGTCAAAGACGACGGCAAGGTCTATGTCCTCCATAGCAAGACGTGGAACCAGGATGAGCACGTGGGAGATCACCTGTGTGTTGACATGCTCGGTCACGGTGAGTATTCTAGTGTCTCACCTGTCTCAACCGCCTCACACCTGTGTCCCATCAGCCATTGCATCTTGTGAGGGAGAATTAGTTAGAGCTCGATCTAGCTTGAAAAGCATTGGTGATGTATTTATTATGATTTGTTTGTTTAAAAAAAATATCATCTCATTAACCTTATACTAATATACAGTTATCGTTTTGAATCTTATGGTGGGGGGGGGGGGGGGGGGGGAGTGGAGTTTGTCTGTTTCTGTGACCTTGCAATATGATGTATAGTGCTCAGCGGTCTTAACTTTCCCTAATGTGTGTCAGGTACCGATTAGAGCTGGGTAAATACAGACACGTCCTATATGGACTCAAGCCCTGGATCCGAACCCGAGACAGAGGGTTAGATCTCGTATGCTCTATCACTCGACCACTCGATACCCAGTTAACACATGATTGACTTTTGTTGTTAATAACTGATCAGGTGACGGCGACATAGTCCCCAAACTGACGGCATCGCTGAATGGTGTGGTAGGTGGTGGTGTTGTTGCCACGACAACGGTTATTACAGGTACGTTTTTTTAGTTACAAAATATTAGTGATACATGTAAGTTTCTTATTTTGACTCTCAATAAAACAGGTTATGTATGCAATTTTGTTGTTCTATATGTGTCAATATAACAGATTATTTATGTAGTTTTGTTATATTCAATATCAAAGTAACATAAAAATAACAGGTTATATTTGTAATTGTGTTGAGTGTCAATATAACAAGTGATACGAGTAATTTTGTTATGTTGAGTCTCAGTATCACAGGTTTTATGACCGTGTTGTTGCTGTTCATGTATAAAGACTCCCGGTATTATGTTGGAGTTGTTTATTACTGTTTGTTTGATGTGAATATAAGGAGACTAGGTTATAAACGATTGTTGGCTGTAGTCACATAGCATGATGTCACACACGTCAGTGTGGAGACATTTATTTAGGATATATATATATATATATAGTGTGGGTACACATAGTTTAACCTTTGACCTTTCTCATACAGCCGCGCCAGGTGAGACTCTACCTACGATCACACCCAGACCAGGTAAGATCTTAGTGACAAAATGTAGTGACAGATGTACACTTACAATATCAATGGTATTTAATAAATGATCTAACTGATTTTTACACGCCAATTGAAGTAACTGACAATATATATATATATATATATATATATATATATATATATATATATATATATATATATATATATGCGTGATCAAAGAAACATTGTAAGTCAAATTATGAAGAGCGTTCACCAAAACAAATCTCATTCGATTATTGCATTTACAAAATATGAGCTACTTCCGCAAATGATTCTAAAATTTTAGAATGTTTTTCCAGTGGTTCTTCCCTCTGGTGATGGGGTACACGCCAGTCTTACAGTGGCTATAAATAACCCGGACAACATCCAAGGCTACTTCGACTTTGATGTCGTTGAGGACATCTTTGGATGGGTCATCAACATCACCTTCAGCAAACCTATCCGAAATATGATGAACGTGAGTTATCGCAGTTTTTTGTATAGACCTACAGCTACTATTACTATAGGAGAGTAGTTTTTCTAATTTGGGACGGAGTGGCCTAGAGGTAGAACGCTAGACTGCTTACCCGAAAGTCTCGAGTTCGAATCCATAGAACACCAATGAGTCCACTTAGCTCTGATGGGTACCTAACTTATGTTAAAGAAAATAAAGATCTTTCTCTTCATATCACGACTCACGAGGTCACAAAACAGGTGAACTCTACTTCACCTGCCCCGTGGGACTGTCGGGATAAAAAAGGACCTTTACTAGTTCTCTTATTCAAGTATGTACCACAACTGGGTGGACTCAGGGTGTCATGCTAATTCAGCCGTTAAATTAGTACTTACACCGACTACTTCTCTACCAAGCCGTCCAAAAAATACATAGGATAGTTACAATCGAGTTTTTGTCGCTGTAACAGCTTTTAATTTCAATGCGAGCACCTAAACCAATCAGGTTTAGTGTTGGTGGGGGGGGGGGGTAAGAAATTGAGTGAGGTTTATGTTAGGATATGGTTTAGGGCTTTGCTTGACAATAATCCAAGTTATCTTTCTTTCAAGTTAATCTGCTGCAAGTAATTTAACAGCCGTTTTCAAGACAATCCCATTAAGGTGTCATTATAGGAAACTCGTATTAAATACACCGGTTCCCCTTATTTCAATTCCCTGACCCCGGGCAGAAGAGGCTCGATAGCTGGGGACAACAACTCTTCTAGGAGAGACAACTCCAAAATCAAACAACTGCTGCCTTGTATTTTGTTCTTGGTTGGTCAAAGGCTATGGAAGCAATTCCAAAAAGAAAATCAGGCTGAAATCGGAGTAAACTTCCTATATGGTGCATAACCAGTTGACACGTATACTTAATTGTGATGAAAGGAATCTCTTCCAACATAAAAAAGCTATGAACGAAGAAGAAATTCCCTGACCTCACACTCCCCCACCCCTCTCCCCCTGTTGTCCAGTTCGAGGTGGGTGATGTCCTGTCCCACTCAGCAGACGGCTACAACTGGCTGGTGGTCAACCGTCCAGAGCACGTCTCCTACCACGCTGGTTCCAAGCTCCACCTCAAGTGAGTGGTTTCTTTCACAACACGAATTATCAGGCCAGTAATTCGATAGTTATTAGGATTGGGGGGGGGGGGGGGGGGGAAGGGGATGGGGGGGGGGGGGAAATAATCTCTAACACTAAGTAAATTTAAAAAAAAACGTGTATGCACTTTTATTAGGTCGAAATGGGGATTTTATAGTTGGCAAATCTTAAAACCCAATCATTTTGTTTTTCTGATATGTGCAAGAGAATGTATGAGCAAGCAAAGTTTTTACCAAAGAAAGAAAGTTCATTTTTTTTTCAATTTTTAAAAAAATAATTGTTTGGTCTCTTGTGATCAGGTTTGACGCACAGTACGGGGGTGGGGGTGTGACTGGTCAAGCTGTCCTGATCAACTTGGGTAAAGATAACATCACTGTCCACGAGGCGCCCAACAGTAAGTCTAGGGATACAGGCTACACGCATTAGGCTACACGCTACAGGCTACTACATGCTACATACTACAGGCTGCTACCAATAGGAAGCTCATTAAACAAGTCGCATTCACTTTGGTCTATAAACATGTCACTCGGAATTTGTTCAAACATATTATGTGAAACAAAGCACATGTATATTTTCTTAAATCTATTACATTACTCACCACTCATTTTATCCATCTCAACATCCATATAACTCTCTCACTCTATCTCTACTTCTCTTAACGTCATTTCTCTGAATCACCTCTCTTCTGAGAGTTTTTTCTCTCTTGCTATTTCTTGTTCCTCTCTCTTTGTGCCCTATCTTAAACTCATTTTATCTTTTATCTTTTGTATTCTCTGCTTCACCTTATCTGATTACCTCGCCCTAGCTTCACAAAAAAAGTATAACCCATACTAGTGTTTCTATTACATTGTGTCCACATCGTTTATTCACAAAATTAAACACTGTTTTTTGACCTCAGCCGACAACTCCAAATACAACTACAACGACTTGCTCCAAAAGTCCATCCTGTTCTTTGAGGCCCAGCGGTCAGGCAAACTACCGGCCACCAACAGAATCCCGTGGAGGGGCGACTCGGCTCTGGGGGATAAGGGCAGTGCAGGGGAGGACTTGACTGGGGGATGGTATGACGGTAGGTGGCGCTTTCTGATTTCTCATTTGTTGTCATTAAAAAAGAAAAGATGTTTCGATAAAAATCATTAGTCCAACTAAACAATAATGATAGTTTAATAACAAATTTCAACTCATTAAAGGACGATAGTAAATAAAAGAATGGAGATATTTTTCGTATATTTTTCTTATCCCGATGAAGACTCATAGCCACAATGTATGCTGTATTGTTACTTTGGCTATATTGTTTCTCTTCTAAACTTGGCGTGGTTATGTGATTCTCTTCTATACACTGTACTGCACCTGGGGCTGTGTATAAGACTGTGTTTGTGTAAATATGGTCCGTAGGTCTTCGTCGTATTGTGCAGAGTGGTGACATTCAAAGGCATCGGAGCTGAAAAAAAACCATGTAATGACCATTTCCGTAATTAAGTAGTAGAATAGGCTTATCGCTAATCAGCTGCCTAATGACGTGACCAGTAAGGTTAGTTAAACCTCAACTGTTGATGGTGACTTGCATCGTGTTGCTGTTGATGGTGACTTGCATCGTGTTGATGTTGATGGTGACTTGCATCGTGTTGCTGTTGATGGTGACCTGCATCGTGCTGCTGTTGATGGTGACTTGCATCGTGTTGCTGTTGATGGTGACTTGCATCGTGTTGCTGTTGATGGTGACTTGCTTTGTGTTGCTGTTGATGTTGACTTGCATCGTGTTGCTGTTGATGGTGACTTGCTTTGTGTTGCTGTTGATGTTGACTTGCATCGTGTTGCTGTTGAAGGTGACTTGCATTGTGTTGCTGTTGAAGGTGACTTGCATCGTGTTGCTGTTGATGGTGACTTGCATCGTGTTGCTGTTGATGGTGACTTGCATCGTGTTGATGTTGATGGTGACTTGCATCGTGTTGCTGTTGATGGTGACCTGCATCGTGCTGCTGTTGATGGTGACTTGCATCGTGTTGCTGTTGATGGTGACTTGCATCGTGTTGCTGTTGATGGTGACTTGCTTTGTGTTGCTGTTGATGTTGACTTGCATCGTGTTGCTGTTGAAGGTGACTTGCATTGTGTTGCTGTTGAAGGTGACTTGCATCGTGTTGCTGTTGATGGTGACTTGCATCGTGTTGCTGTTGATGGTGACTTGCATCGTGTTGCTGTTGATGGTGACTTGCTTTGTGTTGCTGTTGATGTTGACTTGCATCGTGTTGCTGTTGATGGTGACTTGCATTGTGTTGCTGTTGAAGGTGACTTGCATCGTGTTGCTGTTGATGGTGACTTGCATCGTGTTGCTGTTGATGGTGACTTGCATTGTGTTGCTGTTGATGGTGACTTGCATCGTGTTGCTGTTGATGGTGACTTGCATCGTGTTGCTGTTGATGGTGACTTGCATCGTGTTGCTGTTGATGGTGACTTGCATCGTGTTGCTGTTGATGGTGACTTGCATCGTGTTGCTGTTGATGGTGACTTGCATTGTGTTGCTGTTGATGGTGACTTGCATCGTGTTGCTGTTGATGGTGACTTGCATCGTGTTGCTGTTGATGGTGACTTGCATCGTGTTGCTGTTGATGGTGACTTGCATTGTGTTGCTGTTGATGGTGACTTGAATCATGTTGCTGTTGATGGTGACTTGAATCATGTTGCTGTTGATGGTACTTGCATTGTGTTGCTGTTGATGGTGACTTGCATCGTGTTGCTGTTGATGGTGACTTGCATCGTGTTGCTGTTGATGGTGACTTGCATCGTGTTGCTGTTAATGGTGACATGCATCGTGTTGCTGTTGATGGTGACTTGCATCGTGTTGTCGTTGAAAAGATCCGGACAGTTATCCTCAGAGAAGTCTAATGTGACTGTTGGTCCTGAAAGGGATGGGCCATAGATGTGCATTAAGCTGCTAGGGCCGTAACATTTGCGGCTCATCTCAACAGCTTACGCCAAGAGAATCCAATAAGTGGGCGAATCACCCATGTTGATGTTGTCTATATTTGCATAAAGTCATTTTGGTCAATATAAAAAGCAGTGTTTTATTCCAGACTTTTTTCTTCGGAGGGGGGGGGGGGGGGGGTAGACTTTCTTCGGGGGGAGGGGGGGGGGGGCGGACACTGTTAAAAGTATATATTTTCTATATAAATTTCATTTCGTTCGGGGGGGGGGGAGCGGTTGACTTTCTTCGAAGAGATGCTTGGAAGAAACTCTGATAAAAAGTTTTAAAATTCCCTTCTTTTTTTTTTCTTTTTTTTTTTAACTCTAAAATATTTACTTGTGAGTTCTTAATACACATGCAAGTACAAAGTAAACCAGTGATATGGTTTTTTCTAAGATTTTATGCCAACGAGCCTGGCAAACGAAAAGGGCTTGTCTGTTTGGATGCTGTATCATCCAGTGTTTCTTCCAGACTTTTTTCTCCGGGGGGCCACTTGAAATTTTCGGGGGGGGGGGGCGGTAAACTTTCTTCGGGGGGGGGGGGGGGGCGGACACTTAAAAGTATATATTTTCTATATAAAATATATAAATTTCATTTCGTTCGGGGGGGGGGGGCGGTAAACATTTTTCGGGGGGGGGGGCGGTAAACTTTCTTCGGGGGGGGGGGGGGGCGGACACTGTTAAAAGTATATATTTTCTATATAAAGTATATAAATTTCATTTCGTTCGGGGGGGGGGGGGGCGGTAAAAAAATTTCGGGGGGGGGGGGGGGGGGCTTCGCCCCCCCGAAGAGATGCCTGGAAGAAACTCTGGTATCATCGAGAGCCAAGTGTCCAGTTAAGGGCATGTCTCGTCCAGGTTCCTGGAGCTCTTGGCTCTATTCAGAACATTTGCAGTTTTAGGAGATTTAATGTCCTACTAATTTGTTTTTTATTTCGCCCCAGACGTGTAATTTACAGCGTCAGTTTGCCTTGTTATGTTCGCTTTAGTATTACAGTTTTCATCATCGGCTTGTGAGGACTGATACAGATTTACAATAGTAATACTACTTTCTTACTTGTAGCCTACGTTCATTCATGTAAGATGGTTTACTTATACATACCATTCATATTATGCCCTTTTAAGCACTTGGGAAACAGAAGACTGTTCTAACGTTAATTTACTCGTGGGCTGGTCTAGTGATGATTAAGACTGTCTTAATTAAAATTAATTCTTTATTTATTGTTTTATATACATTTTTTTTAGTTAAGTGAGAGTTCTCAGTGAATATTTTAGCTCTGCTTGAAATAATTCTTCGACGACAGTTTATTTTGTAAAGTAAAATCTGTAGAACGTGCGAATTGCCTACAATGTTGTTTATTTTTCTTTAAATTACGAAATAATTGGAAAAGGTACTGTCTTTCTTAATTCATAATTATTTAAAGTTATAGGTAAGGAACGAAGCATTATTAAACTAGTTAATACACATCCACAAAATATTTTACTTTATACAATAAATGAATAGAAAATAACAAATAAACAGTAATATGTTTTAATACTTACATAATTCTATATTAGTTAGCGTATACTGGTATAAATTGTGAGTCGCCTCCCTTACTACAATTTAAATGTATGAATGGAAAGTACATAAAAAAAAATATTAATATTAGTTGTAAAGAAAAATATTTCAGAAACTAATCTAAACAAATAAAAACATAATAAAATTTTTAAAAATCAACAAAATACGCCACACCGAAAACATTTAACTACAATAACACAATATGAAATTTCGAAATGTAAAATAATAATGTAAAATGTAAATAATTACTAGCTCGTTAAAAATTGTGATGAAATCTTAAAAAACTACGATTGTATAGAAAAACATACAGCTATTTTTCAACTTCGATCTTATTCATCGTAAACTGGAAGGGAATTTACTTCAACACAATAAAGCAGTGGCGTAGGCAGGGGGGGGGGAGTTAAGGGGGGTCATAACCCCCCCCCCCCCCCATAGACCCCTCGGTATATATATAAAGTATGAGGGGGGTGCAAATCAAAAGTTTGAGGGGGGGGATGCAAATCGAAAGTTTGTCCCCGGGTAAAAATGTGAACCCCCCCCCCCCCCCCCAATGAGACGATTAAGTATTATGTGTCAGCTTGCTATGTGCCATATGGACCGTTGATCCGATTTCAGCCTGCTTTTCTTTTTGGATTTGTTTCCTTAGCCTTTGTCTACAAAAAAAAACCCTGCAAAGTAGCATTTTTTATAATTTTGGAGCTTTCTCTCCGAGATGGGTTACTACAGCCACATCTGCCCGGGGTCCAAACTCGGGATTTTTTGGAATTATACACATCTTTTAAAATATGTCTGTTTGATACTTTGTTTGTCAACGTGCCTTGACAGACTTGAACCTGTGGAACAAACAACTGCAACATTTTTTCCAGCGTTCTCAATTCTGTTCGGTTTCTCTTCAGTTGGGCCCTGGTGAATCCACTATCTTTTACTTCTCTTTCTGTAGTCCTCCCGAATGTTTTTATTTCCCCGTGGATTCCAGTCAAATGCCTGCTTGGCGAAATTGTCACTGGATCAGTTTCGTGTCGTGAATGTATGCGAAACTTAACATTTGTGTTGCTGCACAAAATGCCCATAACTTTCGCGATGTCACTTTGTTCAGCATCTTGTGTCGACGACCTCTTGTTTAAGCATAATATGTAAGGCCCTCTGGTGTTAGCACCTTATGTTAATGCTCTTTCACTTTAGCAAATTATGTTAATTCCAGTTTGGTTTTAGAACTTTGTGTTTTAATACCCTTTAGTTTTAGCCCCTTGTTATAATGCCCTTTTGTTTAAGCACTTGTGTTAAGGCCCTTTAGTTTTAGCCCCTTGTGTTGTCCTTTTCTTTTTGCACCTTTTGTTGATGGCCTCTATGTTTTCAATATGAATAATGAGAATGTTTCACCAACTTGTGTTGCAGCTGGATACCTTATGATAATTGCCTTAAGTTGTTCCGAATGTTTAATGAGAATGCTTCACCAACTTGTATTGCAGCTGGAGACCTTATGATAATTGCATTAAGTTGTTCTTAATGTTTAATAAGAATGTTTCACCAATTTGTATTGCAGCTGGATACCTTATGATAATTGCCTTAAGTTTTTCTTAATATTTAATGAGAATGTTTCACCAACTTGTATTTCAGCTGGCGACCTTATGATAATTGCCTTAAGTTGTTCTTAATGTTTAATGAGAATGTATCACCAACTTGTATTTCAGCCGGCGACCACGTCAAGTTCAACTTCCCCATGGCCTACTCGGCCACCATCCTGGCCTGGAGTTACCTGATGTACAAGGACGCCTACGTCTCAGCTGGTCAGGCGGACTACCTGCTGGACTGTATCAAGTGGCCGCTGGACTACCTGCTCAAATGTCACACTGGTCCAGAGGAGCTGTACGTACAGGTGAGGATGGGGTGAAGTTGGTGGGTGGGTGACCTTGGGTCACCTTGGTGGGTGGGTCACCTTGGTGGGTGGGTCACCTTGGTGGATGTGTAACCTGTGAAGATCTATAACCTTTGTTGTGTGCTGTTCTTGGGATGTGCGACCGTGTGAGTTGTGATACCTTTTATCGATATTAAATCCAAAGCAAAAAGGAGCTTGCAAATTGCAACTAGTACTATCATCACTGAAATCTAGGGCCCTAAATGTTTGCTAAATTTTAACTTGGTAATAAAAACGGCACACGACCTAATAAGTGCGTTCTTTTAAGTGGTTAAAATGAAAGTTTTTTTTCTTGTATAAATAGTGTGCTGTCTTGTTTGGTATTTAAATAAATAGCTATTTGGTCCTTTGTGAATTAAATTAATCCACTTTTTAGCGCAATTTCCATTCTGGAGAATTGCGTTTATTAACCCGTCATTTCTGGATGTATGAATGAATGGATGGATGGATGGATGTGTGTCCGCAGCTTTAAGTCGTATCTCCTCCTCAACGAAGCAATATCGATGACTAGTTACAAAAGCAATTATGTTAAGCAAGTTACGAGGATGAACACAGGCCATAAAAATTCCGGGTTTCTTTCATGGATTTCCCGGAAAAGCCATAAAACCTCGAACAAATTCAGTTTTTGCTCCATATCTCGGCAACCAGACCACTTAGCGACTTGAAACATTTACCAATCGATTCCTGCCATAATTTAAACCAATATTGCCGAAGAAAGTTTTCAAAAATATCCTTTCGTTCGGTCACAAAAAATTAATTAAGAATTTTTAAACTGAGCGTCTTGTAGGTTTTTAGCGCAAAAGCTGAGGATCGAAAGGATTTTAATGAGCGGAGGTTCGAAAGGATTTTTTAAATTTTTCCCCTTTTTTTTCGACTGATACGGGAGGCTACTCTCCCCTTTTTTTCGACTGATACGGGAGGCTAGTTTCTATTTTGTTTTGAATTATTAAAACTACTTGTGTTGCATTATTTATTTGCTGAATATATGATTTATCTCGATTTAATTTACTTATTAAATCAAACTTTATTTTTGTACCCTATTAATAAGCTGAGGTTCGATATAAGAAAATTGCGCTAAAATTGTCACTAGACTTTTTAATTAACTTGTTTTCCACCAACAAATCGGAAGAGTCTTGGTCATGAACAACATAGTTTAGACATAAATGTCTCTAACACTAATCAAACGTAACTCAGCCAAATACATGCTAGTACCCTAACCCTAACCACTGGTCCTTTCACTGGGCAGGTGGGGGACGGCGGGGCTGACCACGGCTACTGGGGACCACCAGAGCTGATGACCATGGCACGGCCAGCCTTCAAGATCACCACCAGCAAGCCTGGCAGTGAGATCTCCATGGACACTGCAGCGGCTTTTGCTACTGGCTACCTGGCGTTTAAGGACAAAGGTCTGTAGTGTGGCTACTTAGCCTTTACAGAAAAGGTATTCGTAGGTTATGTTGTATGTGGTATTTGTTACTGGCTACCTGGCGTGTAAGGACAGAGGTCTGTAGTGTGGGTGTTGTATCTAGCATTAAAGTACAAAGACCAGTGTTGTAACTACTTGCAATCTATAGAAAATATTTTATTATGTTATTAGGTGAGGCTGCTTAGCACCCAAGGTCTAATGTCTGTAATGTGGCTGCTGTCATTTAAAGACAGATATCTATGTCGCTAAGTGTCGTTAAGGTGATGGTCATGGGTAATGTCACAACGCGTGTCTAATATCTATCGAATTCAATGAAAAATAAACCGGGAGTGATCTCCCCTAAACTTTCTCGAATATTTTTATATAAAATAACAGGGGAAGGGAACTCGGGCTATAGAACTTGTAAGTTTATCGTTCTTTCTCGCGTTAATTCGTGTCTGGTTAGCCAGGGAGAGATAAAAGTTTTCGAACTAAATCAATTGTTGTGAACCGGGTTTCCCACTGATAACAAAAACCCCCTAACAAAAAACATGGCGGCTATTTGTTAGTAGGTCCCGCTTCAAGATTTCAAAATCATCAAACGTTCCAGAAATGCAACAACTGTAAAAACTTTCAACGCTGTTTTGTTCATATGGATGGGAACAAACACATGTGTATGCATTTTTGAATATAAAAGTTTTGTGGCGGTAAGTATATCTATATATATAATTCTCCTCTTCGAGCCGTTAGAAAACAAGCTGCAAACGCTCTCCCTACCTCCCCACCCCTACATGGTTTTAGTGAGCTGTGTTCACTCTAAATGTTTACAAGCAGAGCCAACGATTTTAAACGTAGGGGGGGGGGGGGGGGAAGGAAGGGGGGGGGGTTATGGTCCTTAACGAGCTACTTATAGTGTTTTAAAGAAATATTTTCAGTGTCAGCGTTGGTACTGTCGAATTCACAAATTATGAATTATTGAAAATTAGAAACAACTAAATAGCGGCGTATGTTATGCCGCGGGCCGGCTCGTTGATTTTATTTCTTTTGTTGATAGTTTGTCCAAGGCTAGGGGACATTACTCTGACTCTACTCAGTCTTTGCTACGAGACTTAAGATTCCCAGACCTAGATCTAGATCTAGATTTTTCTAGATCTAGATTCTAGAATCTACCTACTAAGATCTACATTGCTTTAATCTAGTTCTAAGAGTATAAGTTCATGAATTAGAATATATTAGTTCTAGATCTAGTATTTTAGTGATCTAGATCTAGATAAAATATTAAAAATATTAAGAAAAGGATGACGGTAAAAACTAAAACAACAGGAAAATGAGGATGACTTCCAGTCTCACTCAGCCTACGACTACGACTTACTTATTAATCGAATCTAGAATCTAGATCTTTTTCTAGATCTAGATTCTAGATCTAGATATTAGATCTAGATATCTAGAACTTAGACAACAATGTTAATGTTAATAGACCTAGATCTAGATCTAGATCTAGCTAGATTACTGAACTAGACTCTAGTTAACTCTAGTACTGATTACTCAGTGATTACTGTTTAATATTTTAGAAGTAGGCCTATTAACATATATTAGTTATTAGAAGTAGCTTGTAGATAGATGGCTAGATAGATAGTATTACTAGATCTAGATCTAGATAGAGATAGTAGAATAGATCTAGATTGCAGATGGTAGTATGGTCCAGTATGGTAGGCCCTAGATCTAAAATCTAGACTAGATCTAGAGAATCTAGTAGATCTAGATAGAATCTAGATCTAGATTAGATCTAGTTTAGGTAAAACCTACCCTAGTTAAGTTTAGTAAGAGCTAGTAATGCCTAGTAAGGCTAACCTGTTTTTAATTTTAAATTAATTTTTTTATATCTAGAATCTAGACTAGATCTACTCTAGCTATTTACTAGATCTAGATCTAGATCAGTAGCCAGTAGAGTGATTAGAGTAGTAGTAGAGTGTAGTGTAGAGTACTGTAGACTATTGTAGAGTGTAGGTACTAATAACTAGACTGAAACTAAATTAGACTAGAATCTAGGTCTAGAATAGTCTAGATACATTTAGGGCTTACAGACTTATCAGACTACAGTGTTGCAATGAGTAGATCTAGTAATATATAGATTAAATTTAGTTTGAAATTGTTACAGTAGTGCTACTACTTTTCTAAGTAGTAAGTAGTGTAGACTACTAGAAGAGCAAGATGATAGATCTCCATCAAGCTACAATAGAGTTTAGTTAGTAGTTAGTTAGTCATAGTAATAGTACCAAAAGCAGTGTAAGTAGCACAGTAAAAAAAAGGTATTACTAGGCCATCTATTATTGTATTAGGCCCTTTTATTTTTAGCAAGTTAAAGTTTGGTTAAGTACTAGTCTTCTAGCAAGTTGCCTAGTAGTAAACTTATAAACTAGATCATGTGTATTAGTACTATTAGACTTGTAGGCTAGTCTTGTTAGTCTAGACCAGGGACTATAAAATCTACAATTGATAACTTTCGGCCTTTTAGTATAAGCCTAATTATTCATGAATTACAGGGTACAAAAATTAATAAATTGGTCAGAGTCAGTATGGTTACAGTTAGCTGTTAATAGAATTAAGTTTTAGATCTATTGACTACAATTTTTAGTTACAAGTAATGAAAATGAAACTAATAGTTTTGTAATAGTTAAGATATGGTTAACTGTAAACCAGATATTTTAGTTTTTAAGACAAGCTAAGTAGATAGAAAACTGAACCTTTACAATAAATTTAACTTTCTATAAATATAAATATATATATATATATATATATATATATATATATATATATATATATATATATATATATATATATATATATATATATTAATATCTCATATTAGTTAAATAATTATTTTAATATAATATATGGATAAACTTAATAATTTATTATATTTAAATTCCCTAGGTACTTGGCAAGCAATTTTCTCACACTTTACTGTGGCTATTGGTGCTGATCTTGAACTAAAGGTGAGCTGAATTTTTTTTTTTATAATAAGCCATTTTTCAGCTTAAGCCCAAGTTTTAAATCGATTCAGTGTTCTAATTCTTAAAGAATATGTTGCTACTAAGATTATATACTGTAAGTATTAATATGTATGGCTTGATAGTGGGACTGTCAGACAGTAGCTTTCACATTTCTATCCTAAAAGATAAGAGTTCAGATCCCTGGTTTTAGTCCTGGTATGATGTCCTAAGTCTCATGAGTACCAGCTCTCATGAGTACCTGGCTCAAGATAGGGAAATTAAAGGTGGCTGGGTATATACCTCTGAACACTCTAATTTTACATGCAAATGTCACAGAAACAGGTGAATTTTAATTCAACTGCTATATTGGCTGTCTGTTTTAATCAATGATTAATTTTTTCATATTACAGAAAGTTGTTAAAAATATTATTTATTTAATTTCTAGGTAAATGGAACAGCATGGATGTGGATTTTTAGACACAAGGAAGCTGAATTTAACTTTTAATGAAGAATTTAAATGATGATTGTCCATGAAAAGAAATATTAATCATATACATTGTAATGCTGTATTGATGCATCTTCTGTTTTAAGTAATTAAAAAACTATCCATTTATGAAATTATTTTCATTTTTTTTTTCAATTTTAAAACTGTAGTTCTGTTTTGTTATTTGAAAACAATGATGAAAGTATACTGAACTGCCTTTGAGATATTAATATAAATGCTATTGTTTATAGTTTAATTCTTTCAGAAGCAACTATATTGACATCAAAACTGAATCTTTATTGTACACTAAGTATAAAAGCTTACCCGCAAACCAGTCCATGTCAACAATTTATTGACATTCAAACATTAAATTTTTTTAAAGGTGATTTTTCTTAAATAAAACAGACTACTTTCATATGGGATAAGAAACATTTAATTTTGAAATTGATTGGTTTATTAAATTTTAATGGAGCTGAAACTAAAACACTGGGTACAAATTTATTATTACTTTGTTTCTCAGAAAATTGCAAATTTTGAACATAAGAACTGTGGGAAGTAGGCAATGATGTTAAAATATCTCTTGAAACTTGAAGAAATTGTGGAAGGTTTAGAGATAGAAAACAACATTTCAGAAGATGATGTTTGAAATAATAGTAAAATATCTTTAGCAATTGTCACTGAATAAATATTTTCATTAGACAAATCACATTTAGATATAGAAGAATAAGGTATGTCTTCAGATTTTCTTATCAGCGAAGATCCTGGGTGATTCTCTTTGTTACCATCGGTCAAACAACAAGCCAATTCTGGAAAATTCATTGGGTTCTTTGCCTGGGCAGCTAAATATATTTAAATTAAGTTCATGCAAGGCTTTAGAAACATCAATTGGATAAAACTCTATAATTTTATTAACTTTTTATTAATATCAGCTCCAAAGGAATAATATAAACAAGTTACACATCATCAATAAATCAAATTTGCAGATATTTCCATTTCACCAAACTTTCTCTAAGTCATAATATATATTTTAAATTCATGGCATTTTGTTAGGCTAGATATGTTGACTTTTATTTACCACAATAATCTGATTATATAAATTAGGATTACCCAGCTATCATACATTCTTCTTTTTACTGCCCTCCTTGATGAGGGGGAGGTAAAAATCATCATAAAATGTGTGATGCAATTTACAGATGAACCCTCTCTCTCTACCCCTCCCCCCCTATATATACATATATATGTATATCTACATAATCTCTAAAATCATGTTGGTACCTCTACCTGTTTGAATGTTAGGCCCCTTTCCTTAAACTGTTTCTGTGTGGATCTTCTCCATGGGGGTCATCTATAAATGACGTCACGCATTTTTTTGACGATTTTTACCTCCCTCCCTCCCCCTACACATCGTCACAAAAAGCCAGACCCCCACCCCCTAAAATGACGTCACACAGTACTAGATTCTAGATCTAAATTACTACAGTTGCCTACACTCTAGATTTAGTTCTTAAGTTCTACAACAAGACTACACTAAACTTCGCTAGATCTAGAATAATCTAGATTCTATATATAAATTGATATTGAACATATTCTAGTCTACCTGTCTTAAAGTAAATAGCCTATTTAGTAATTTAGTAATTAATTCCACTCAACTACACTGTAAAATAAAAGAAACTAGATCTAGAATCTAGATCTCTAGACTACTCTTGAGTCTATAAATTAAAAATAAATCCTGTATGTCGTATGTTACTGTCTAAGTCGGAATTTTCAAGAGGGTTTTTTTTTAAGTCATAGATCTAGATATAGAATTCTAGATCTAGAAATCTAGACTCTAGATCTAGGCTATATATATTTATTAATTAAATTAGGCTTGATTTCAGATTTACGATTGAAATCTTTTAGGCCTATAAATATCATATTTTATATAGATTATAGATGTATTATTATTATACAGGTTGTATTCTAGATCTATCTAGATCTATATAAAATATAATATATTTGTGTGTGTGTGTTATTTTAAACTTAATTTACTTAAAACAACTTATTGTCGGAGTTTTTTTTATTCCAAAAACGAAATAAGATTTCATAACTTAAAAAAAAATAAATAAAAAATATTCTCATTTGGTTTGAAAAAACAAAAAAACGCCAGCTGGCAACTACCGGAGCGAGAACTTGGTAAGCTACTTTAACAACTTACAAGCCCAATAGACATGATTTTTAATCCATTTTAAATACTTAAAGTTTTAAAAATAGAATAGAATCTCGTAGACAAAAATATTGCACACCAAGTGAACGCTAAATAAAAAAGTGCATAATAGTGCGCAATATTATTAGTACTTTAAAAATTTACATTAGTTTTTTGAGAAATCGCAAATAGCGTAAATTACTACTTTCGTTCAACGGAAATGACTCAAAATTTAACAGAAGGTAGAAAATTAGATCGTTTACTTACATGTGAAATTTCGTTTATCTATCTGAAATAGTACTCAAGTTATGGGCTTTTGAAAATTTCAAAGTAGGAAAAGTACCACTTCCGTTTATCGGAAATCGCTCAAAAGTTGATACGGATCTACGATTTTGATAAAATACTTATATATGACATTTCATCAACCTAGCTGTAACGGTACTCAAGTTATCGTGTTTACACACACACACACAGACACACAGACAGACAGACAGACACACAGACATACGGACAAGATTGCAAAATTATGTTTTTCCGTATCAGTGAGATGTAAAACGTCGAGATTTGTAAAAATCTCGAATTTTTTTTTTTTTGCACGATTACAATACTTTCTCTTTACTTCGTATATACGAGAAAGTAATAATCAGCATAATATTTAAGTTATATGCAACATTGCATTACTAGATTGTGAGTTATGCACTCGTACACAAACAAAAGTAATAATTTCTAAAATAAATTGTTAGACACGTACAGTAAAGATCAGTTTGTGGTAAGATAATTGGATACATGCACAGACCAAAATTTTTTTTTTTTTAAAGTTTATATATATATATATATATATATATATATATATATATATATATATATATATATATATATATATATATATATATATATATATATATATATATATACTTAATTAGCCTGATGGTAGGGTTAAAATTATTTGTGTATTGAGTTATAGTTATAGTATTGTCCTATAGTTTGTATCTCATTGAAGATTGTATGTTTCTTGTGTAGACCCGACCTACGCTGCCACTCTTCTCACCCACGCCAAACAGTTGTGGGACTTTGGTATGAAGTACCGTGGCAAGTACAGCGAGTCTGTCAGTGCTGCGGCAGGTTTTTACAGGTGAGTCGCTACTGCGGCAGGTTTTTACAGGTGAGTCGCTACTGCGGCAGGTTTTTACAGGTGAGTCGGTACTGCGACAGGTTTTTACAGGTGAGTCGCTACTGCGGCAGGTTTTTACAGGTGAGTCGGTACTGCGGCAGGTTTTTACAGGTGAGTCAGTACTGCGGCAGGTTTTTACAGGGGAGTCGGTACTGCTTTAGGATTTTACAGGTGCTTGTAATGTATACAGGTGAGTAACTCGCTCCTGCTGCAGATTTTTACAGGTGAGTTTATAGAGGCAAAATTATTTTTCTTTATTTATTATTATTAAAAATTTCAAAAAAGCTTTAAAACAAGACTTTGTAATAGCTTATAATGAAATAAACCGGTAGTGATCTCCCCTAAACTTTCTCGAATATTCTTATATAAAACAACAGGGGATGGTAACTGGGGATATAGTTATGATTTTTAATCCATTTTAAATACTTAAACTTTTAAAAATAGAATAGAATCTCATAAAAAAAACATTGCGCACCAAGCAAACGCCGAATAAAAACGCGTATAATAGTGCGCAATATTATTAGTACTTTAAAAATGTAGATTAGTTTTTTGAGAAATCGGAAGTAGCGTAAATTACTACTTCCAGTCAACGGAAATTACTCAAAATTTAACAGAAGGTAGAGAATTAGATCTTTTACTTACATGTGAAATTTCATTTATCTATCTGAAATAGTACTCAAGTTATAGGCTTTTGAAAAATTCAAAGTAGGAAAAGTACCACTTCCGGTTATCGGAAATCGCTCAAAAGTTGATACGGATCTACGATTTTGATAAAATACTTATATATGAAATTTCATCAACCTAGCTGTAACGGTACTCAAGTTATCGTGTTTACACACGGACAGACACACAGACACACACACACACAGACATACGGACAAGATTGCAAAATTATGTTTTTCCGTATCAGTGAGGTGTAAAACTTCGAGATTTGTAAAAATCTCGATTTTTTTTTTTTTGCACGATTACAATACTTTCTCTATACTACGTATATACGAGAAAGTAAAAACGTATTCAATTTTAAATCATTTTTTTTAGTTGAGGACAAAGAATGAATTATTATGAAAAATTATTCCTTTTCTTAGAAAACCGACTATTATTCTGTTTATGTATGACACTTTTTTTTGGGCCTGTGCTAATGTTTTCCTCTGTTCACACAGTTCCAACAACATAACGGACGAGCTGTGTTGGGGATCACTCTGGCTCTATCAGGTGACCAACGACACCAAATACCTGGACGAGGCCGAGAGATACCTGGACCACGACCCGGCCTGGGGGATGTCTTGGGACGACAAGACCATCGTTAACCAGGTGCGAAAAATAGGTTTCACTTCCTTTGTGGTGATGGTTCAGTGGGCTAATAACCTCGTGTTGTGTTTGTGTATAGAAAAAAATATGGTGTGCGGAAAGGTTTGAGTATAATGGTGTCATATAGCTGCCCAAGTTTACATTATAATTTATTGTTAGCAATGTTTTAGCAGAATTAATAAGTTTAATTGTGAACGTTGGGCCAAGAGTAAATAAATTGTAAGTACCATTTAGGACTGATGAAGATAATCCATTGCGTACTATAGTTATAAGGTGCTTGCTAGAGTTGTCTCTCGTTTCATTTGACCAATGGTTTAAGAGAAGATTGAGTAAAAGGTTTGGTATTAAAAAAAAACGATACTTGAATGAATTACAAATTGTTAAACTACTGTTAGTGATTGGGTCCAGGGACAAGGAAACTGTTTCTACTATTTAGTGATAGCATCTGTACGAAGTATGATATTACGTGTTAAAAAAATCAAGAGCCCCTTCCCCTAAACATGCAATGCAGAGTCTTACGCTTGCGCTCCCCCCACCCTGATAACACTAAAGTCATCCCCTCTCCCTCCCCATGTGAAGAGCTCTCTCACTACCCATCCCCAAAAGCACTTACGTATTTTTCCCTTTTTAAAGAGCTTTTGCCCATTATAACATTGCATTTTCATTTTGTAAGGATTTTGCCCCTTATAACACTAAGTTTTCATTTTGTGAAGAGTTATGCCCCTTAGAGCACTACGTTTTCATTTTGTGATTTGTTTGGCCCCTGATCACAAGCACAAATTTTCCCTTTTCTGAATTTTTCACTCATAACACTAAACAGTTTTCCCCTTTGTGAAGAGATTTCTCCCCTGACTGATAATATTAAATAGTTTTTATCTTTTTAAAGAGTTCATTCCCCTGATAACATGAAGAGTAGTTTCCCCTGAACCTCCCCAGATCCTCCTGTACAAGCTGACCAAGAAGGACGTCTACAAGACAGTGGTGGAGAACTCCTTCAAGAACTGGTTCCCCGGGGGTAATGTCCCCTACACCCCCAAAGGCTTGGCCTACAGGCTGCAGTGGGGCTCGCTCAGATATTCGTGTAAGGCTTAAATAGTTAACCAAAGGCTTAAATAGGTAACCAAAGTCTTAAATAGTTAACCAAAGGCTTAAATAGTTAACCAAAGGCTTAAATAGTTAACCGAAGGCTTAAATAGTTAACCAAAGGCTTAAATAGGTAACCAAAGTCTTAAATAGTTAACCAAAGGCTTAAATAGTTAACCAAAGGCTTAAATAGTTAACCGAAGGCTTAAATAGTTAACCGAAGGCTTAAATAGTTAACCGAAGGCTTAAATAGTTAACCGAAGACTTAAATAGTTAACCGAAGACTTAAATAGTTAACCGAAGACTTAAATAGTTAACCGAAGGCTTAAATAGTTAACCGAAGGCTTAAATAGTTATCCAAAGTACTACTCTAATCATTAGCTTCAAATTGTGGTTGAAAATTTTGTAGTTGATGCTTTCGTCGCGAGGTTTTTATTTTTGTTCAATTTTCATTTTCAAAGAATAGTATGCGGTTTATTGTGAAACAGCAATTTAAAAAAACAGTCAAATTTTTTTTTTAAATTTAAGAATACTCTGTAACATTTACTGTAGGGTCTAAGTATTCGACATTTAATCCACCTATATAGCCGGTATTAATACATTGCTTATAAATATAGATAGGTATTGATAAAAAACTATAACATCAACTATATTGAAACTTAGCAATTAGGTCCTATAAAAATTACTTTATTTAATTAAGTCATGTAAGAAAGTAAGTGCAATCAGCATTAGCTTTAAGTCCTTATAAATAAACGAGTAGTCTCCTCTACAAATAAAAAAAAGTTGTTAATTACTTTTTCAACTATTGTTTTAACCTTAACCCAAGCTCCTAAAAAGGCTCTAAACATAACCAAACCCAAAAGCTTGTAATGTAGGATGGTTATCAAACAGCATTCGACCTCTTTCAGCCAACATGGCGATGGCGGCGCTGGTGGCTGCCGACGCCGGCCTTCACCCTGACGAGTACAGGCGGTGGGCCATGTGTCAGATGCACTACGCCCTCGGCGACACGGGGTTCAGCTACGTGGTTGGGTTCGGCACCAAGTATCCACTGAGGCCACATCACCGCTCCAGGTAAAAATGTGTTATTGACATCTGGCACAAGTCATATGGTGACATTTGCCTGACATTTCCAATTGATTTGAAAGCTCGCCTAATCAATTTCCATTCCTTTCCGATAATTTTGCAATTTCCACTGTATATACATATATAATTTACAAATACATAAACGCATGCCCATACCAATACGCATACGCATTCGCACATACACATACGCATACGCATACGCATACGCATACGCGTACACATACACATACACATACACATACACATACACATACACATACACATACACATACACATACACATACACATACACATACACATACACATACACATACACATACACATACACATACACATACACATACACATACACATACACATACACATACACATACACATACACATACACATACACATACACATACACATACACATACACATACACATACACATACACATACACATACACATACACATACACATACACATACACATACACATACACATACACATACACATACACATACACATACACATACACATACACATACACATACACATACACATACACATACACATACACATACACATACACATACACATACACATACACATACACATACACATACACATACACATACACATACACATACACATACACATACACATACACTTTTTTATTATATAACATGTTTGTGTTTATACATCAGCTCCTGCCCCAACCAACCAGCCAAATGCGGTTCTCAAATTATGCCACTGAAAGAGCCCAACCCCCACGTCCTCTACGGTGCTCTGGTCGGAGGCCCAGGTGCAAATGACGACTACACCGACGACAGATCCAACTACGTCAACAACGAGGTCGCCTGTGATTACAACGCTGGGTTCCAGGGTGCTGTTGCAGGTAGGTCAAAGGTCAGCCCTGTGGTGGCTGGGATTTAACTTTAACCCTGTCTTACATGTAGTTGAACTTAATTTGATCTATACCTATCCTGGCTATAAAGTAAGTCCTAACACTAGTCCACAACCCTAAGAACCCTTTCAAAACAGATGGCCCAGAGTGCAGTTGAAGTGGAGTGTATCTGTTTCTCCACCTCAGTCTAGGGCTGGTAAGTAGGTCACCAACCAGTTATACGGCTCAATAAAACCTGCATGAGCCATATAACTGGTTGGTGACCTACTTACCAGCCCTATATGAAGGATAGTGTGGTCAGTCTTCTCTACTTTCAAGTACCCATCACAGCCGAATGACGCACTGCAGTCTCAATGATGAACGTAAAAACTCGAAATTTTCGGGCTAATAATTGTGCGCTTGATTTCACCATCCCATGCCATGTATTATGTATGTATGTCTATATATATATATATATATATATATATATATATATATATATAGATTTAAAACTGAACGCGCTGATTAAAAAATTATTTAAATTTTTTTTACAATTTCTAAATTGCAGCTCTCAAGTCCCTGTACCTAAGGGGAGATCACCCAGAACAGAAAAACAATGCCCGGTGCCCATACACCTCGGGCAGCGGATAATTGTTGACATAATATTTAAATGTTGAATGGCTATTGTTCTTTTGGAATTTTAGCTCCATAAAATAATGTTATACAAATGTGTTTCATTTTTTTTTTTTCTAATTTGATTGAATATAATGTGCATTTCGAGTTTGTATTAATTCTTAAAAATTAGGAATAATTTTATTTTCATTGAAAAATGAATGATTTAAAATGTTTACAGCATAACGTTTAATGACAAATTTTCTAATATATAGTATATATATATTATAATGATATAGTATAATGTTCTAACTACGTGTACAAAAAGTTACATTTGCAGATATGATTAGGCGCGGCGAATTCTGTTAGAAAGATCTAATAGTTCTTATAGCTAGGTATACGACATGTGCACACAAAAAAAAAACTTGCCCGAATGCAGCAAATGAGCAGTTTTGGTCGGGGAAACAATATAAAATTTAGAAAGGTAAAAAAATACTTTAAACAGATTTGGACTGAAAATTTATGTTTTTATCTACTTTCTTTGACGTAGGCCGTGACTTTATGGGCTCTATTCGGTAGCTGTCAGTAGGTTTGATTTGAATCAAGGTTCTCTCTTCTAGTAAGTGATTAAAAAACCGTTGAAATCTAATACAAAACAAGTTTTGCTTTCAACAATAGGGCTGGTAAGTAGGTCACCAACCAGTTCTATGGCTCATGCAGGTTTTATTGAACTGGTTGGTGACCTACTAACCAGCCCTATTGAGTCATCGTCTGACGCATACCTCTGGTACGTTGCGTCAAGGAATGATCGGTTAAAATTTGTAATTAGAGACACGTGCGGCAGGTGTGTTGGTGGGGGGGGGGGGGGGCGGGGGAGGAGGGTGTACGACCTCACACCTGCGTTGTAATCAGAGAACTGACACCGGAACAGGTTGCCTAGCCGAGATTGGAATCAAAGGGTGAGTAATGGTCCGTGCTGACGTCGCGAAGGGGGGGGGGGAAGTAGAGGGAGGGTACTCACCAAACCAGAATTCACTCACACGGTTCTGACAGTTTTTAAAATCCTATTTTTATTTTACAGTTGTACAGAAATAAAATGAACAAAGGATAACTGTAGTTTTGTAATTTGATTTAATTTTACATTTGACAAATTATCAATATTTTTACCACATTCAATTACAACAATAGTAAAATTGTGAATAGTTTTATATACAGTTACACATAATCACCCATCACAGTAATAAACAATATTATTTTCATAAAGAGAACTTGTCAAACGTTAAGGCAATTTACATGATGTATTACGACTATAGTCTCACAATACATAAAAAACCAAACGTTCAGATGATGTATTTTTAGTTAGAGAAGTATGGGGGGGGGGGAGCAGAGGCGTCACAATAGGGGTGCGGGTGTGCGGGACGCACCGGGTGACACCATTTTAGGGAGGTGACACCAAGGCAAAAAAAAATTCCAAAATATACTGAAGGAAAATGCTTTTTTTTCCAGCTAAGTTAAGGATTAAATCAAATGAAATTGTTTTGTACTACTTGACGATACAATGGAGAGAGTGGGGGGGCACCGGATAACACCCGACTCAATTGGGTGGTACGACATGTTAAGTGACTAATTATACTAAAAGCACTTGGCCAATTTGAAAAAAGTATTGGGGCGGAAGATTGACATTGGTTTGGTCCCGATATTAATAATATTTGTCGGCGTGCTAATTTATCTCCAGGTGCGAAGGGTGGCATTTGTTTCCGCATAAAAAACAACAAACTAGATATCAGAATGTCATTAATGTATTGAACCTATTGATCAACATCTAATAAAATCGGTTGTGTTAAAAATATGACTATGGCTTGGTCGTTTCTCAAATTACGGATATCTAGAAACAACACGAAAAACAACATCCGTACGTTTTTATCTCCCTTTATAACCCCACTTCAGATAATCGGCTTTGTTTGGCCGGTATGAATCGTCCCATCCGGGAGTGCCTGGTTGAGTAAAAAAAAGTTTCCCTTTCAAACCTGACGGTCTATGGGGTATGTGAAGTAGAGTTCACCTGTTTCTGTGACCTCGGCATATGAAGAGATAGTGTGGTCAGCACTATGCCCAGCCGCCTTTACTTTCCCTAACGTGAGTTAGGTACCCATTAGAGTTGGGTGGACTCAAGGACGGTTTACTGACTTGAACCCGGATTCGAACTCGAGACTTACGGGTCCAGCTCTCTACCGCTAGACCACTCCGTCCCATACCTGATTGAGTCAAAATGTCGAGTTCGATTCCGGGGCATCTAACTTAAATGCAAGAGCGGCTGAGCATAGAATTGACCACTCTATCAATTCACAATTCCGGGTGAGCTCGGCTTCAAATGCCCCATTGAACATCACAGTTCCTTTCACCAGTCTACCATGACGTTAGGTTAGAAAAACATTCTACTTCGTCAGACATGAATGTGTATGTCGACTTACACTCGTTATGTAGGAGTAAACTAACAAATCAAAACAGTTTTTTTCATCACCTTTATACAACAAAACATTAAATCAGAATTAATTATACATACAAGTTAGATAATCAGGATGGTTATGTTTAAGAGTGTGTTTAACTTAATCTAAACCACAGCAGTTAATACTTGAAGACTTAATCTCAGTCTATTTTAGCCTTGGCTTAGACCGTAACATCATATTATCGCAGTCTGGGCAATACTGTAACATACTGTGTACTGTTGTTTCTGTATGTTTGGTTATTTACTTTTGTATTGGCGGTTAAGGTTAGGATCGTAATTAAGACTAGGGTAAGATTTCGCGCTGGGGATAGCGGTACAAGCAGGTATAGCTCTGGTATCCCAAACTTGCGAAAACTGAGCGACCAAATGAGGTAAGTAAACCAGTGAACGCTATTTGTTTCAGAAATACAATCTTCTGCCTAGACCGCACACGATGTTGTCGCCAATGGAAAAACAGCGAGCGATGCGGTGGATTGTGGGTGACTCCGAGGTGTGTTGACGGTGACTCATGTGTTGACGCTAACTCAGTGGTGTGCTGACGCTGACTCAGAGGTGTGTTGACGTTGACTCAGTGGTGTGGTGATGGTGTCTCAGTAGTGTGTTGTCACAGACTCAGTGGTGTATTGACGCTGACTCAATGATGTTTTTGACGCTGAGTCAATGATGTGTTGACGTTGACACATTGGTGTGTTGACGGTGTCAGTGGTGTGTTGACGGTGACTCAGTGGTGTGTTAACGCTGACTCAATGGTGTGTTGACGGTGACTTATATCACGTGATCAACGTGTAAAAAAAAAGATACAACTTTTTGGAATGTAAGAAGTAACTTCACCGGCAACCCGGCTTCAACAGTTTTTCCTTTCACGGCTTTAGAAGCTACTTCAAAAACCGTGAAACCGTGAATGTGTATTTTAGGGGCTTGTGTAAGCACAGGGCTATTGTACACTTAAATGTACATAAAGATTTAACCCTGACGTTGCAGTTAATGAATCGTCTGTTCTTTTTTTTTTAATCCATTACCCGCTAAACAATCTTTTCATTCGATGCCAGATATTATCTTTCCTCCGTGGTATCGCCGCCGTCATAAGCGCTTGGTAAAAAATTTTGTCCAACCCCTCGCCCGTCAGCGCCGAGCACTCGGCATACATCCGGGCTTTCACCTTGTTAGCCAATCGTTTTCCTTCTTTGTTGGAGACGAACGACACCGATTGGCTGGAGGAGTTTGAGGAGACCGAGGTCTCGCTGATGATTCGGTCCCGGAGGTCGGTCTGAGTGCCGACGAGGATGATGGGACATTTGGGTTTGAACTCGCGGAGCTCAGGGATCCATCTGGACCGGATGTTGATAAACGAATCCGGGCAGGCGACGGAGAAACAGACGATGAAGACATCCGTTTCGGAGTAGGTCAACGCGCGCAGGCGATCATAGGTTTCCTGTTAGAAATAGAATAGATAAACATTTTTGAAAAAAAAAACTTGCAATATCTAGCGAAGAGGGGGAGGGGAGATATTCAAAAAATGAGATTTTAAAAATGAAAATAATATGAAGAGAAATAAATTTGTAGCACAACAGCATCCGTTTTTATGATTCATTCATAACGACATTCGAAATGAGAGTAAATGGATTTGAAGGGGTGGGGGTGAAAATTCACATAAACGATACATTAATGATTAAACAATGACGTTCATTTGCGAAATAGCAGTATTAAGATAACAAGTACTAATTAGTCCATCGTATTAACAATGGGCATGTTAAAACACTATCCTGGTCAAGATATAACCTCTTCCCCTTTCAATTTTTCTTAATGAAGCTCACATATTTTTCCTTCTAACGATAAAATGAAATATGTCAAACTGTCAAGTTACGTGCATCTACTTGATGTTTTTAGGAACATCTCTTAAAAATTAAGTCCAAAGATAATTTTAAATGGGTACCAAAATTCGCTCAGAACTGTGTGTTATTAAAACTGTTTTACTCCGCTAGTAGACTACCCGTAATAGAGAAAGTGAATAAGGCACGACACTTCATAAATGATGGTAAAAAAACATGCACGTTTTCTCACCTGGCCAGCCGTGTCTATGAGGGTCATGGAACATGGCGCCCATTCGTTTCCTAATGCCATGGCAACTGTGACAATACAAGAGAACATAATCATGTCTTTTGGTCAATACGTTTTGTACTGGTGCTTTTAACATACACATAATAAAACTAGGATGTACATATAATAAAGTTAAACGTAATTCATAATACAGTCATATGTAAATCGTATATAGAGCAATACGTCAATAAATTATCATGAAACAGAGCGTGTTAATTCTTGATCAAGTTTCGTATAGAACTTGGGCGAACCTTCGAGCAATTGACTAAGTACTAAAGAACTGCATAGGCAGACACTGTAGGTATTGTACCTGTTGTAACTATGAACGTTAAAAACCTAGTTACTATATCTGTTGTGACTATGAGCGTGACAATCTAGTTACCTGTGAAGCTGTCGAAGTGTGTAGGTGAGTACTCCGTCAAGAAATCCCCCTGGACGTAGCGTAGCAGCATGCTGGTCTTCCCCACCCCGCCATCCCCCACCACCACACATTTGTACTGGTTGGGGTCGAGGCGACCTGACCTCCTTTGGAACATCGGGTTTTCCATGTCACTAATGTCAAGGACACTGCTACCTCCACACAGAATTCGATGACAACAACGTCAGTTCTTCTGTTATTATCCCGTCTTTATCCACAAAACTTGTTCAATTTTCAGTGATGGTGTTGGTATAAAAGCGGTGTAAAAGATTGACTAGACTGCTGAAAAATTTATCCTAGCCGAAATCACAGATGCACAGCCGTTCTAGCATGTGATGTAATCCAGTCAATAACAGAAATCGCATAACACTTTTTATTTAAAGTGCTGTTGATTAACTAATAGCAAGTTTACAGTAAGCACGGCGGAAAAAAAGTATATGCATTTTATAGACGATTTCTACAAATCTAAACTGAAGTTGTTTTGATTTTGTTATGTTCTTCGTTGATGTTTCTAAATCAATATTCCTTTTAATACAAACAAAACACTTGCTTAAGGCAAATTTTCTATTCAGAAGACAACGCCATACAATAATCTATCAAGCGTATGCAGAAAAATATTTTTTTATATATACTGGCAGAAAATGTTCCTCTTCACCGTAAGGCATAAAAAAAATCTTCCTATTCACCGTCAGTTTGTTAACCTTGGGTTTATTAACGGCATTTCCTTTTCTGGAATCCCAGGCGAATTAATGGCGTGCTCTGCCTTTCACTGGCGACAGATGAAAAGGTTGGGATAAAAAATTGTATTTTATTATTGATTAGCATGGGTTGTCTCCCTTGCAAGAACACAGTCGGAGTTAACTTTCCTTGAATGGAAACACTGATAGTGAGTTGACGGCTGTTTCTGTTGGTTTTGTGGTGCGTGTCAAATATAATCGGAAGTTTTATTCACAGTAACGTAGGTTTATTTATATCGACGAATGAAATCAATCATAAACATGCTCAGCTGACTGAGTAGGGGGCTGCGTATCCCTGACTTTAATCTGAAATTTAAAAAAAAACATTTATGTTTAAATCAATATGGATGATGTATAAAATGGGTAAAGAAATTGATTTTGACATAAACATCAAAAATGGTACTTGAATCAACATTTGATAATACGATATTATTGTTTGGTTGCATTTTTAATTACCATTTTTATAACGTAGTTTTATTTTTGTTTATTTATTTTTTACTGGATATTCACAAGAAAGCGCATTTTTAGAAAAATTATAAACATAATTGTAATCAACATTTTTCATTTAATTTAAAATAGATCTAGAATAAGTACAAGTTTTCTGAAACAGACGGCAAATGTAACCACGTAGCTGCTTTATAAAAGTGGCGGATTATGGAAAAGGCCGACACGGCATCATCAGCTTGATCCCTTTGTATGGTGGAGGCCAAAAATAGTCTCTTATATCCTTAACAATAAATAAATATATATATATATATATATATATATATATATATATATATATATATATATATATATATATATATATATATATATATATATTTATGGAAAGATATATATATATATATATATATATATATATATATATATATATATATATATATATATATATATATATATATATATATATTCTTATATATATAATTATATATATATATATATATAATTATCAGCCAGATGCCCAGCTCAAGCTGAATTTCTCCCAGCTGCCTATATAAAGCTGTAGCATGTGACTGTGAACAAACTTGTTATACTTTCGGCGTGGTCACACTTGTCCATCCCACATCCTTGATATAAACAATGATTTAAGAATTCATGATATCAAAAACATGCACGTGTTGACAGGCTTTGACGTTTTATAAAAGTAAACAAATGCCCATGTAAACAATGGCTTAAGACTTGTAAACAAAATGTTACGGTTTTTTCGGTCAGTGGGTTTTCGCATAACGGCTAACTTATGCAACGAGTGGAGTAATCAGGTCACATCGACTGCTCACCGAATTAATTAACGTGTTCGCGCATGCTCAGTCTGGATCAGCTGGTATGTCAACCCTTGATGTATTTGTGTACCTTCTGACAAGTATGTGTACTTTCTGACAAGTATGTGTACTTTCTGACAAGTATGTATACTTTCTGACAAGTATGTGTACTTTCTGACAAGTATTTACTTAAATCTTCTGATAAGTATGTACAATTTCTGACAAGTATGTATACTTTCTGACAAGTATTTACTTAAATCTTCTGATAAGTATGTACACTTTCTGACAAGTATGTATACTTTCTGACAAGTATTTACTTAAATCTTCTGATAAGTATGTACACTTTCTGACAAGTATGTATACTTTCTGACAAGTATGTGTACTTTCTGACAAGTATTTACTTAAATCTTCTGATAAGTATGTACACTTTCTGACAAGTATTGTATACTTTCTGACAAGTATTTACTTAAATCTTCTGATAAGTATGTACACTTTCTGACAAGTATGTATACTTTCTGACAAGTATTTACTTAAATCTTCTGATAAGTATGTACACTTTCTGACAAGTATGTATACTTTCTGACAAGTATGTGTACTTTCTGACAAGTATTTACTTAAATCTTCTGATAAGTATGTACACTTTCTGACAAGTATGTATACTTTCTGACAAGTATTTACTTAAATCTTCTGATAAGTATGTACACTTTCTGACAAGTATGTACACTTTCTGACAAGTATGCACACTTTCTGACAAGTATGTATACTTTCTGACAAGTATGCATACTTTCTGACAAGAATGTATACTTTCTGACAAGTATATATACTTTCTAACAAATATGAATACTTTCTGACAAGCATGTGTACTTTCTGACAAGTATTTAAACCTTCTGACAAGTATGTATAAGGGCCTACGTTCTGACATGTATGTATACCTCCTGACAGGTATTTATATATTCTGCAATTTTTATTTACTCCAGTTGTTTTTTTTTAAATTATATTTTATACTTCTGTTTCTTCATTATATACATTCTACAATATAAACCATCATGACTAGTTTTTGTGTTCAAACTACACAGTAATTGGATTAATTATTTTTTTAAATCTTTATAATTGGATGCTTCCTAAGATATAATAACATAAGTTGCTAATGGGGTTGTAGAAAAGGATAATGCCAAATGGTTTCTGACATTGATTTTAGTACGGTAAGGAAAGTAAAAAATTGGACAAGCTTGTTCAACACGTGTCGATTTGTATTCCAAGAATTACACAAAAAGAGTATACCAAAAAGAACGCTAAAACGAACCCAAAACACCAAACACCACGAAGTAAATGCAAGCCCAAAAGCTGAGGTCAACCTATTTAATGTATCTTGTTAGGCGTTCTGAGCATTTTCTATTGCTGTGTATATGAGTAAACTAATTATTTCTCAACAGACTAAATTGTGATAAAGCTTGTCTTCTTTAATTTTTTTTATTTATTAAAACACAGGTTACCGCTTCAGGAAGAACCTGATAATTTGGAACTTTCCTAATTTAAAAAATTAAATTTATAATACAGCTAATGGGTTCCTATTTAAACTTAAGCCTAATGTTAATTACACAATTAAAAAGTTAATCAATCAGACCGTCTTTTATACAGGAATGTAGTATTTGAAATTATATAATAAAGTAAAATACCACGATTGATATTATTCTTTTTTAGTATTGAATCTTTCTATAGTTAAAAAAAACTTTTGGGAGTGGAGTGATAAACTGTCTCCCTTCGCTAATTTTGTTTCTTATAAATGGGAAGTAAGGCAAATTAATATCCAGTATAAAACAATTGTATTTCAACTTTCAACACACGTATGCCTATGTTTCTAAACGTATTAAACATTTTTGTTATATATTATTACATCAAAGTTTTAAATATTACAATTAATAACATTTACATATATTATTAAATCGAATTTTTAAGCATTACAATCAAATACGAATAAATACATGATTATAACGATTTTGAAAAAATAAATAACAATAAAATATGAAATCGATGTTCTAAAATATACATTTAAATACATATAAATTTATTTGTATCTGTGCATTTTTTGTAATGTGCATTTCTCTTAAATATTTTTGCAAATCCGCGTAAATTAATCCGCGTCTACAAATTTGAAAACCGCTGACGCGTTAAACCAACTTCTGAATTGTAATTGGTAAAAATGCACAATAGAGCTTATATATTCACGGTACAAGCTACAGCCTTCTAAAACTCCTCAAGAAATTTGTTAGTAAAATAGGCAAGAAAAAAAACATGACACTTACAGTTCTCAATAATCACAAATATAATCTTTCCTCTAAAACTCCTCAAGAAGTTTGTTAAGAAAATAGGCAAGAAAAAAAAACGATACACTTACAGTTCTCAATAATTACAAATATAATCCACTACAATCTTTCCTCTAAAACTCCTCAAGAAATTTGTTAGGAAAATAGGGAAGAAAAAAGAAACAAGACACAGTTCTCAATAATCAGAAATATAATCCACAAAAATCTTTCTTCTAAAACTCCTCAAGAAATTTGTTAAGAAAATTGGCAAGAAAAAAAACATGACACTTACAGTTCTCAATAATCACAAATATAATCTTTCCTCTAAAACTCCTCAAGAAGTTTGTTAAGAAAATAGGCAAGAACAAAAAAACAACAATACACTTACAGTTCTCAATAATCACAAATATAATCCACAAAAATCTTTCTTCTAAAACTCCTCAAGAAATTTGTTAAGAAAATAAGCAAGAAATAAAAAAACCAATACACTTACAGTTCTCAATAATCACAAATATAATCTTTCCTCTAAAACTCCTCAAGAAGTTTGTTAAGAAAATAGGCAAGAAATAAAAAAAACCAATACACTTACAGTTCTCAATAATCACAAATATAATCCACTTAATCTCATCCTTTTTTTTTACAATATTTCTATTTTATTAAAAAAAAACCGATTTTCCTGTTATCAAACCCGTTGAGCCCCAGGTATGTATGTTGACTGGTGAAGAAACCCAACAAGTGCTATATATGTAGGAACTTCAATGAAAACAACCAACGTCGAACACAAGGGATGACACCTGGCGCACGCGCATCTAATTATCTCCGTGAGCACTCACAATATGCGTCAACCCTCGCTTGTATGCCGCGGTGGTAATTGAGTAGCTTCATCACCAGGGGCGGAGAACTCCCGTGATGTAAAGCTAGGTTACGTCAGTAAAAAAAAAAGTAAAGTTCACAATACTGTCCATGGGACAGGTGAAGTAGAGCCCACATATTTATATACCCTCGGCATATAAAACAATAGTGTGGTCAGCAAAATGCCCAGCCGCCTTTACTTTCCCTAACGTGAGTTAGGTACCCATTAGAGCCGGGTGGACTCAGGTACGTCAGTAATTACTTAAATTAGAGAAGAGTACTATGATACAACAGAGAGTAGGAAATATACACATTACGTAACGCAACAAAACTACCTTTATTAACCCAACTCCATATATTTTATATAACATGATATAACATATAACTATAGACCACTAACCCTCGTATTATGGACTACATCAAAGAGCTACATCTCATACAACCACACACAGCCTACAGCAACACTTCTAGAAAACAAGAGTTTCTTTCATGTCTCTCTTCGGTGGGGGAGGGGAGGAACAGGAGGGCGGTTGTGGTAATTTAAATAGAAAATATATACTCTAACCAATCCCCCATCCCCCAAATTGTTTTTAGGAGCCCCTCCCCCCCCCCCACCCCCCTGAACCAGAAAAAAAATGTCTGAAATAAATACTGCTAAAAACACAACACTAGTTGGTGCAACTACAAAACTGTAATAATTTTGTGCTTGATACAAATAAAGTATGTTGTTGCATACCCTTCTTTTCAATTCATTATGTGTAAACGGGGAAAAACTTATTTTTATTTTCAATGTTCACATTGTAAAAAAACTTAAGTCAATTACTCCGCCATTTTGACATGCGCAGTACATCCATTCATTACACATTTAAACATGAGCTGTACTCGATATCTAGAACAGACGCTAATCATTTATAAACTGGGCTCTTTTAGAAACTCTTTAATCCGTTTCAAGTATACATTTCTATTCCTGGCTTATTTAAAAATGGTAGCACAAAGCAACTCAGTATGCAGACGTGGGTGTATTAAAAAAACAGCAGACGACAGTACTGGATATAAAAATATATTGCTCACCGTCTAAAGAGTCAGGGTGAAGCACGCGCTTCATTAATGAGTGGCTTGGTGAGATCATTGGCGCATTTGATCGTTCGACTTTCAGGGAGGGGAAGACTTAACTGTGTCAGTCATTGACGCATTAAAAAATGTGGACGCTGTGGTGTAGAAGTAGGGGGGTGAGGAATGGTGGGGGGATATGGACAAGGGTATCCTACTTGTATTGAAATACTAACGGGAATTACCGATCAGAAGATTTCGAGTTGTTGTTCTATTAGGTAAAGGCTTTGCATTATACGAAACGTGGGCTGTTGCCTAGGCAACGGTTTGAAGTGAAATGTTATCTCTAATAATAATGTAGAGCTAAGGATACTTGAGAGCCTCATTATAATATGACATCACCGTCTATAAATAACTATTCAAATATTGTTTCAGCTATAAGCGTTTATAACACTCAATTCGTGTTAGCTACAAGTACATTTTCAAATGTTGTATCAGCTATAAGCGAATATAACACACCTTTTATGTAAGCCATATAAATACCTTACCAAAAATTGTATCATCTACACGTGTATATAAAACCCAATACATGTATGTTATAAATACCTGTTCAAATATTGTATCATTTATAAGCGAATGTAACAAGTAAGGTAAGCTATAAATTAAAATACATTTTCAAATATTGTATCATCTACACGAGTATATAACAATATATCCGCGCATGCTATAAATACCGAAAATATCACTCCACTAGTCGAAACCTCCTAAATTTGAAATGCGTTACAGATGAAAAACTTACGGAAATCTTTAAAATAAATATATCCGAATGTACGTTATTCCTCACCACTGCAAGAACACAAACAAACACACAGGTCTACCTAGACACAATGTGTCGTCTGCCTCTGCTCCTGCGACCCACCTGTTGGCAGACGACGGAAAACAAGGGGAGATCAATACCGCCAGTTCAACAATCAACGGAATGTAGTTTTTTTTTTTACCAAGTGACGCCATGAAATGACGCGTCTCTCGCTTACACGCGCGGCCAACAACAAATAGGCCAGTAACAAGTGGCTACTGACGTCACGCATAATCTAGCAGATATACTGATATTGCCGTGAAATGTTAGTGTATTCATACCGATACATATATAAATAAATGAATGTATATATATATATATATATATACAAGATTACCCGGGCGCCCGCGCCTATAGCCATGACGGACTGACACACTACCTAGCTGCTTATATTATAGATATATATATGATTTATGGTTTATATGATAAAAAGGCAGATAAGCAGTGTTTCTTCCAGACATTTTTCTCCGGGCAAGCACTTGAAATTTCCGGGGGGGGGGGGGGGGGGGGGGGCTGGACACTATATATTTTCTATATAAATTCCATTTCGTTCGGGGGCGGTAGACTTTCTACGGGGGGGGGGGGGGGGGACCCCTCCCCACTACACGAAGAGATGCCTTGGAGAAACTCTGCAAATAAGCTAATATAAAGACCTCTACGCCAAATCAACACACCAACCCAGCACTTTCTCTTCTATCTAAATATCATCAATCAGAAAACAATCACAAGTTATTTAATAAGATGCACGACTTAAAGGCTAAGCCAACGTCTACTGATAGAAATATTTTACCAACCACCTTCGGACAAAAAAAAAATCATACAATGACGTAGTCTGGTCGCCGAGTTCGGATCTTTGTTCGTACATGTGACTACAGGACGTAGACATTTCACCAACCTGGCTGTAATCGTACTTAAGTTATCGTTTTCACAGGCATACACACACACAAACACACACACACACACAGACATACACGTACAAAATTGCACAACTAACTTTTTCCGGCTTAGGGAGGTATAAAACGTCGAGATTTGTGAAAATCTCGAGAGATTTTTGCACAATTACAATACTTCCTCTATAGCCTACTTCTTATACGCTAAAGTAAAAAGGAAATATTTTAACTTCTGTAACAGTCCGCCAACCCTCCCCTCCCCTCTATCCATGCACGTTTCCCAAGCAGCTGAAAAATGTAACACCAAACGGGAGACGACTACGGGAATAAACGTGACGTCAGGTGTTGTCCCATTGCTCCGGAGTTGTCTCCCCCAACACAGTGACACCAAAAAAAGAAAATGCTAACCTCCACAAGGTAACATCCAAATATGTGCCGGTGTCGCTGGCTCAGATGTAAACAAAGCTGGGCCTACACAATACACGCACATACACACAAGGACATGCGAACACACACACAGTTTCTCTCTCACACACACAAACACACATTTACACACATACACACAAGGATACGCGAACACACGCACTTTATCTCTCACTCACACAAACACACACATACACACAAGGACACGTGAACACAGACATTCACACACTATATATTTCTCTCTCTCACACACACAGACAGACATGCACACAGACACATACACACAAGTGCACACACACATACACACACACAATCTCTCACACACATGCAACTTGGTCTAAACAAACAGCGAATATTGAACCTTCACACGCTGACTCAAGAACCAAGTCAATTGGTTAGTTTGGAGCTACAAAAAGCAATGCCGATACTCGCCCTCTTCTGTTACGAATACGCACAGCTTTGTTCTAAAGTTTACATGTTTTCTCTATGCATGTCACTCCCACCCCCTTTCCGTGTTAATGTTGTTTTATTGCTGTAGAGGTTAAAGGGTAAACGCTACCATTCTCGAATATTTTATTTTAGCATTTTTTGTGAATAAAAGATCCCCAAACCTAGCCCTTGTCCTGGTACTAGTCCGGGTCCTAGACATAATCGTAATCCTAATCCTCTACTAAAAATCGCCATAGCACGAACCCTGACCCTCGTTTCGACCTTTAAAAAAACTTGGTTTTGAAATTGTATTATCATACTTTCGTTTTTACAAACATCAAATAAAGTACTATTTTTTTGAACGGCATATAATTATAACATCAGTATAGCATATAATTATAACACATCAATGATACCTCGGTGATGTTATTTGAAATTGGAAACAGGCGAACAATAAATTACGCAAATTATCAGTTGGAATTGGGAACATTAATAGTAGGCGTTGTGTACAGAGGATGGAGATGGTAGTATGTGACCTACTTAGGTCCGGTAATGTTTTATTTTGACATTGTATAATACCTTATATGGATTGATGGTGCAACTACCGGGGTTTTTCCACTGTCTTATTAAGGGTGTCTAAGACTAAGAAATTTTCCATCAAGATCTGATTGATTGATCCGGATCAGATGACTACCCCAACCAATGGCTACATGAGTTGAAGATAACCACCCCATAGCTCAGTGGCTAGGATCTCGGCGCGCCACGGCGGCGGCCGAGGTTCGATTACTCGGTGTGAAACTGAGTATAGTCTATGGTGTCTAGTGGTTTAGTGGCTTAGAATCTCGGTTTGCAGCCGAGTAGTGTGGGACAGTGGTTAGGAACACCATTAGTGGCCTAGTGGTAATAACCACATAAGTGTCACACAACAGGAAACACAACCAGCACGAGAACAGTAGCTCAAGTAGCCTTGAGTGATCTGTGAGTCTCCATAGAGACTTGTCCGCGCAGGCAGTCTACCTTGATCAAACGGTCTATTAAGACCAGGCCGTCCATTTTGTCCGGCAATAGATTCTGACCATTTGAACGTGAGAGAACTTAAGTCCTGAGTGTGCTATGCTTTCTTAAGTTGTTTTAGTCTTCTAGTATAATATTACTTGTCGCCAAGTGATTCTTGAAGCTATAGCAGTGTTGTGTGACCTGTGG